TATATTTTTCTGAATGAAGAGATCCAGCTGGATCGACTGATGCAAAAAAATTCATATGTTAGTGGGCAAAATTGAGAAGACGGTAGCCTTGAAGATGGCACCCGGTATAGTATTAATAAAATGCCTGTATCTCCTCAACTATGCTATGTTGCTCAGCAAAATTATTAATATTCTGAATCTAGAGGTTCTGCTGGATCGAACGGTGAAAAGAAATTCATACGTTTCCGGGCAAACCTGAGAAGACGGTTAGCTCGAAGATCGCAATCCGCCTATTGCTAATATGAACGTATTGATTATTGTTCTATAGTGATCAATTTGCATAAATGTGCGCGACTGCGCTATCTGATTGAGATAGATCTAAGAAAATGGCTATATCTCCTCAGAAAAGCAAAATCCGTAGTCTAAATATATGTTTTTGTGAATGAAGAGATCCAGCTGGATCCAATGATGCAAAAAATTTCATATGTTACTCGGCAAATTTGAGCTTAACGTAGCCTTGGAGGTGGCACCCGAGATAGTATTAATGAAATGCCTGTATTAATGAAATCTTTAATATTAAGAGTCGGAAAGCAAAAATATTTCCAAAGTTTTTCAGATACTGCAGCACATCGTCAGCAGTGCTCCCGGCAATACAACGACTGCATTTTTCTAACGGCTGGCGTCAACGGCAACATGTGCATTGGATACGGACGAGCATGTCACGTTTTCCTTAAAGAACTCTCTCTTTGGCCTCATTGAAAGAATGATAAATGCTTGAGATTGCAGGTTTACAACACCCGCAATCTGATGTATTTATCATGACACCATCTTTTTTCACGTTATTTTTAAGTGCAATTGGAATGGCTCTTGATTGCAAGTCAAACTTAACCACAGTTTTGAATCATCCCGTGATTGTTACAAACCAATCGCATTGTGACTGAAGTCAAATTTGTTTTTATGGAAGTAAGTAGTAAGCATGCCCCATATAGCATATTGATGCTTTTCCCTTTGTTCACGACTTCGTTAAGTCGAACTTTGGAACGAAGTACAAACACTTCAAAACATATCCATTTTGCTATCATCACACAGTCGGAAAAGTCGAGCGTGCATATAGCTTGGAAATGGTAGTCCTAATAAGGTAATGTAGAATTGATCACTCAGTTTTATGTGATAACTTCCGAAATTCAGCTATAAGTCTGGAACCAATCTGCTCAAGGAAACATGTAATGAGCATGATGTTGGTGATTTCGCGATGTTTCAATAATGCAGTTTGGCGATGGTATCGTCGTAGCTATAAGAATTTGCATAGTTATTTGATTTATCAATATTTTATTGATGATAATACCCATTCCGTATCCAAACATACTCGTTTACCAGATAATTTATTCAATTACAACATGTTTTATTTATGGATCGTAACATTGCTGAGAGAATTTCAACGAAATGTAAAACAATTGTGATTATTGATCATCACCACTGATCACGCCAAGTAGCATAACTCTCGTAACTTAACGATTGGCGTCCAAGTTCAATGCAGATTCCCTAGGTATTCAATCTCAGCTACAAGGTGGTGTATATCATGATCATGAATTTCCCCTGTTGGGTAGGTAACAATTCCAATTATTTCTTGAAATTTTACACTTCAAGCAAAATAGAATATCTCGAGTATATCTTCATCGATGTCAACTCTGTATATCATATCTTATTTCCTTAGATCTGCGCCACATGATGATACATGAATTTCCTAGATTGATTCCTGTTGAATGGGTAAGAAATTCACATTTCTGAACACCTCTCAAATAAATATGCGTGTTCCATCACTTGGCGAAATGTCACTCCGTTCGTAATTGGCGAAATGTTACTCCGTTCGTAATTGGCGAAGTGTCACTCCGTTCGTAATTGGCGAAGTGTCAGCTTACCAATTCAATCGGTGATTGTTATTTACATGTCAAGATCGATCGTACATTTCGATTCGTTCGTTATTCGTTAGTTTTCGTTCATTTAATGCTAATGTTATTATTGTTCGTATAAGTTATTGATAGCCGTACGCTTCCATAGTTCACTGACATTCTACCGTGCATTTTTCGTTCTCTTTATCAAATGAATTTCAGTTTGGAAAATGCCACCGAAGGCTGCGGCAGCGGGCAAAAAAGCTGAACTAAAGAAGAAAGAAAAAATAATTGAGGACAAGACGTTCGGTTTGAAAAACAAGAAAGGTGCAAAAACACAAAAGTTTGTTCAGCAAATCACTAATCAGGTTACTTTTATTTGTACTAATATTTTTCAGTAATTCATTCGTAACATTTTCTAAAGAACCAATGTTGACCATTACTTTAGGATCAAATTTTATCCTTTTATTAATATGTTCATCTGTTTATGAACAAACTTCGAATAATTCTTAAATCACTGCACATTTTCTGATGAGATCGACGTAGATCGCACCATTGAATGGTTGAAGGTGAAACATGCTAATCAGAGTCAGGCAAAACTCGAAGCAGAAAAAGCAGCTGCCAAAAAAAAGCGTGAAATGGACGACCTGAAAGATCTGAACCGACTTCTCAAACCTGTGGCCGAAATGCCGAAAGTTGGTAAAGGTTGGTTGACATCTTCAAATGTCCTCATTCATTAAAAACTAAGATATCTTCACTCATCTCTTTTAATTGTCTTCTGAAACCTATTCATTCTGATTAATCAATTCATTAAATGCAGAATACTTCTGATAAATTCACTCAAAAGTCTCGTCAGAATGTGCAAAAATTATGCTCGTAAGGCATGCATTTCTTTTTACAGATGTCGATCCAAAATCCGTGGTATGCTTGTTCTTCAAGCAAGGAATGTGCCACAAGGGGAACAAGTGCAAGTTCAGTCATGATTTATCAGTTGAGCAGAAAACGGCCAAAAGGAATTTGTATGTGGATAGACGAGATTTGACGAAAGAAGACGGTCAGTTCTTGTTTTTATCATTGGTATTGCTGATAGTACTGTGTGAGTACAAAGTTACCATATGAATGCAAAATTATCTTCCTCATTTTCAAAATGCGTATCTCTTGGAACATTTACTGTTATTGTTATTGCACCTATTATTTTCGTTATTATTATTAATGTTATGCTTCGCTTTTGTGAACTGTAGTTAGTTTTCTGAAACACGACAGCCACCGATGTTAATCCAGAGGTAACGAAAACCTTGAAATTTTTTCCAGAGAATATGGACGACTGGGATGAAAATAAACTGAGTGAAGTGGCAGAGAAGAAGCACGGTGAAAAGGATAGAAAAAGGCCAAATCAAACGGATATCGTTAGTTTTAATTGACTTTTCACATTCCCATTAAATGGAACCGAAATATGATTAAAGGTAAGTGTTCCATTGCAGGTATGTAAGTATTTTATCGAAGCGGTTGAAAACAGTAAATATGGATGGTTCTGGGAATGCCCGAATGGTGATGGCTGTATCTATAGGCATGCCCTCCCACCTGGTTATGTCTTGAAGAAGGATCGAAAGAATTTGGAAGAGATGAAACGATTGAATGAGATCAGCTTAGAGGAGTTGATCGAAAAAGAGGTAGGTGGTTGTTTCGCGTCAGCATTTTGGGTAACATTTAGGTACCTATCAACTGATCGATTGTACGTGCGTCCAATGATCGTTAAGAGTTGCTGCTTGAAACCACCGACAGCAGTAGTATGTCTTTTCAGACATCTTCTGTTTGCTCAAGAATTCTAAAAATATTTTTCGCAGTGATGTTTTCCTCACTATTTCGTCAGATTGATTGATTATTCAATTTCCAGAGAGCCGCCCTCAACGCTCGAAAGCTCACAAAAATCACGCTTCAGTCATTTGTTGAATGGAAAAAACGTAAACTGCGTGAACGAAAGCATAAATTTGCTGAAGCGGAGAAGGAAAAAAAGAAAAATTTCAAAATTGGAAAATCGGTATGATTTATTTTATGACTGAAAATATTTAGTGTAGTCATTGAATTATTTGCGTAAATCTGCACGTTCAGTTTGCTTCGTAACAGTTTGTTCATTGCTCTACAAAATCTATAATGAGCCTTATTCAGGTTGGTCTGAGCGGTCGAGATTTGTTTACGTTCAATCCGGATTTGATACAAGATGATGATGATGACGCTGAGGGTGGTGTTGCATATGAGCGCGACTTGGGTAGTGTTCAGGAGGATGAGGTCGGTTTTATTTAACCAATAATTATGACTGTGATGATGACTATTGTTGTCATTGTGGTTGGTGTTGTTAATATTCGTCAGATTCTAATCAAGCAGTTTATCATGACGACGATATGATTCAGGATGGGGTGAAAGCATTTGAGATTGATGAGCGTACCTTCTATGCATTCGATGACGAGGGTCATATGTTTGATGATGACTTGGAGGAAGAAAATGATGAGAATGAAGATATTCAAAAGGTTTGTTTTTAATTATTGCTTGTGATCATTACAATCATCACAGTTTTGTTGTTACTGTGTTCGTTAATGACATTGTTTAGTGATTTTATCGTGGTTCGAATTAATTGTAATATGTTAATAACAAGTAATCGTTAAGATTGGTGCAAGTAATGAGTTGAATGGAGCGAATGAAATGACGAATAGATCGTCGAAAGAGATCAAATTTAATGAAGAGTTATTCGATGGTGATGAAGACATTCCTGATATTGAGAGTTCCGACGAGGAGACCCATGATGAGCATAATTTGATCGCAAATAAAATTGCGAATTTGAATGTTGCTTGATGTCGCTTGATTTTTAATGATAGTGATGACTGGTGTTGTTATCGCTATTGTTATTGCTGCTATCATGTTTTATATTGCGTGGAAAATTTGCGATTTTATATTTACAATCTTATGAAATTTTTGGATGAAGGTATTCGTATGAGTTGACAACGGAATGAACTGTTTCGCAATGGAGTTTTTGTTGAAATTTTCGTTTTCGAGCGCATTCATTTTTCTTTTTTTTATTTTGTCACCGAACCGCCGAAATTAAGTATTATAAATTATGTCACTCATATTATAGCATCGTATCGTTACGCTGAATTTTATTGTCATGGTTGAGTTCATCTCACTTTATTGTTATGCATTGTGTATTACGAAGAAATAATCAGTTTAAATGATTTTTAATCGTGATATTAGCGAGTGCAACATTTTGTTTTTGAATTCCATCTCCCGAATAGTCCAGAACTCGATTTTTTGTCGTAAGTTTATCTCAACAATGTAGCAGGAATTGTAAAATTTACAGTTGAGATTCTACTTTTATTCTCTAAATTGTACAAGGAAAATAAAACGATGTACAAATTATATGAGAAAAGAGGATGTTATGATGTAACTAGTATTTGTTATTCGAGTGTGTAATTGCTAATGAAAGTTATATCATCGCAATGTATATACATTATTGATGTATATACAAACATCCATATATTCTATTTTCTGTTAATGGTGATTTTGGGTGTATTTTAAGCGTCCTCGTATTTTGAACTGAATTTATTGCTCATATCATTCTCGTTTTTGTAGCGATTTCGAAGGTGGTTGTTATTTTTATGTTCGTTGCTAATAAAGAGAACTATTTGACGAACGTCTTTAGTTCTTCTTTGTGATATCAGCATTGACATTCATTCACATTTCTTTACGGAATTGACTGATGATTATCACGACATTACGACGGTTCGCAATTCTTTTCCGGTCAAATAGCAGTTTCAGACAGTTCCTCTTAAATTCTCTCATTTCATTAAACAACAATAAATAACAATAAATGACAACAAATAACATTAAATAACAATAAATAACATTAAATAACAATAAATAACATTAAATAACAACAAATAACATTAAATAAACAATAAATAACAGTAAATGACAATAAATAACATTAAATAACATTGAATAACAATAAATAACATCAAAAACAATAAATAA